TGACCATCACTAATTTCACAAAGGGAAAAAAATCCCATCAACAATTCAATTCCTATGAATTGCAGGGTCAGACATGTCCCCTCGCCCCACTGCCCAAACCTTTGTACTAATTCTAACACCAACTCTCCCTCCCACATCATTTACTACTTATCTAACAAGTTTGATGATTCATTGTATTAACCATGTAGAACTCAGAGGCAATATCATGCTTAGGGGGTTGTTAGGAAAGTATTAGGTTACAATTCAGGATCAGGAATACTCAGGATACAGTTCTTCAATCAGCACAGTGTCATTTCAGCATGCCTTTTTGACCCCTCACCCTTGCACCCTGGCTGGCTTCTAACATGCTTGGGCAAGCGTCACAGAGGTCTTGTAGCTCTGTCAATTATGTGTCCAGCCATAATCCCATTTCCCAGGAAGCCTAGACTCTAAAGTACTTGGTTCTAGCTCTGGGGGCCAACAAATCTCGCATTCCCAGCAAGTGTCTGCAAGAATCCACTCTCCACCAGGCACTCAGCTTTCCTGCTCCATGCATGGGTCAGGAGTCCACCACCCGTCTGACATTCACCACCGTCTCATCATCTTGTCTCACGCCAACTCCGTCTTGTGATCTTACATCCTCTCTGCAGTGTTACAGCTCTTCAGCTGTGGTTCACACAGGAGTCTTGGGTTCAAAGGACATGCTGCACTTTTAAACTCTTCTTTCCTGATAGTAATGGGATTGCTGTTTTCTACCTCTGCAATGGCTGAATTTAAATTGGGAAAAAAATGGCAAAACTAACCAAACCCCACATTAGCATCCTACATACTTTATTTGCATGGTCTCGCCTTAATGGATATGGAATGTCAAAACCACTGAAAACTGGCTTTATTAGCCATTATGTCAGTCCCCATTTGGGGGAATAATCTCCAGCTACTTTAACTCTGGAAACATGGTCCTGCAAATCATTAACAGCTGGGGGACCAATATAAGCAAGTGCTTTCTACACTGTGAGAGAAGGCAGTGATGGTGTTAGAAAGGTGGTGAAGAGACTGTGACAACAGCTGTGAAGAGGCTATGGTAAGGTGCAACCAAAGGAATTCTGGAGATAAAAGCCACAGTTAGTTTTGCTTGCTGGATGACTGTAGGAAAAGTTAACTTGTAACTGCTTTGAGATAAAGTTTGCTGGATGATTGAAGAAACCAGAAGCTTCTTGCATATGTGTCACTGAACAGAACCTGAACTTTGACTAATTGAGGAATGGTGTTTTGCTAGTAATCTGGCTTAGGGCTGTTGGACTAAACCTAGACTTGTATTAGTGATATTCTTTGCTTCACTCACTCCTCAACCTATTTCCTTAGTAAATCCCACAAATGTGAGTAAAGTCTGTGAGTCAATTTACAACAAACATGTAAGAAATAGGTGCAAGAGCATGTGGGGTGGCATGTCTGATTATGTAGTTACTTGTGTGGTACTATGAATATTATTGATGGGGATAGTTCCCCTTTATGAAGTGGGTAAAAGTCAGACTAGGCCTCCCCTGCGTTATTATAAATGCTCCTTTTAGAGGGCACCATGTAGTTTCTTTCATTACTAGTAATCTAGTCCCCTCTGCAGGTTGGAAACACTTCAGTGTGTTGTGCTGCTAACCAAAAGATTGTGTCTCCAAGGGATCAGTAGACATCAAGCTGGCAGTCTCCCCTCATCAAATTGTACAACCTCTGAAATTCAGTGGAGAGTTTCTATATGAGTTGGATTCAACTCAATAGCAGTTAGATTGACCATGTCACTTGGTAGGAGCTAGAAAGATAGCGGCTAGAAAAGTCTTACCAAGCAATCTTTTTAATGCAATGTCTTGACAGCACATTAAAGAACTGAGGTTGGATTTCAAGTACAATGAGGTGGAAAAGTTTAGAGCAAGTAATAAAAAAATCAGAGATGTATTTTCAAAAGATTGCTTTAAAAGCAGTGACATTAGAGAAGAGTGGATACAAAAAGGCTAGACAGGAGCTAGTACAGAAGTGAAGACAAAGATGATTGTAGAACAAATAAGAATGATAAAAAGAGAGAATGTCAAAGGTACTCAGAAGGCAGAAAAGGGATAATTATATGTCAGGCTAGAGGTGAGAATTGACGAAGGTATGATTAAGTATGTTTGATGTCTAATTATTTCTTTTGACCTTTCTCATAGGTAATTCCTACTTTCTACATGGAGAGGTGGTCAATGTCAGTATAATTCTGTGAAGAACTTAAAGTTGAGTGTATATAGTAATAAGCCTTTATGACAACATTGTCAACAGTCACAGATATAACCTCATATGGACAATCTTTGGAACTGATTGTCTTTACTAATGCATAAAGTCTGTCCATTACTAGTCAGAGAAAATGAAATAGCTGAGTTCTAAGGATTTTAAGGGAGCTCTGATGGCCTGGTGGTAAGAAACTGTGCTGTAATCCCAAAGGTGCATGGTTCAAAGCCACCAGCCATTCTGCAGGAGAAGAGTGGGCAATCTCCTCCAGTGTGATTAACTATCTCTGAAAACCACTCTTGGGTCAGCTATGAGTCAGTTCTAACACATACAATTCAGAGAAAATGAAATAGCTGGATTCTATACTTTAAACTTTCAGATAGATATTCAAGTTGCTAAAATTATATACATTTATATAACTTGTATTAATGGAAAACCAACATCTTTTACAAGCTTCCATTAAGCAAAATTAAGTAATCCCAGCATTCTAAAGGCAGTGAAACTCCTTACCCACCACCAGAGCTCCCTATCTTTGTACTAGTATGAGGTTATTATACTGGCATGAAAGTCCATAATAATAAAGGTATAAGAGCAGATGGTAGGAGCATATTAAATAAAATGCCCACAAGGGTGATTGTAAAATGGTACAACCATTCTGGGAGGCACTTTGGTGTTTCCTCAAAAAGCTAAACATAGAAATTCCATATGACCTAGTTATCCCACTACTTGGAATATATCTCAAGAAAATGAGAACTGAGGCACAAATGGAGACTTGTACACCAATGTTCACAGCATCATTATTCACCATTGCAAGAACATGGAAACTGCCCAAATGTCCAATCACAATCGAATGGATTGAAAAATTACGTGACATTCACACAATGGAATACTATAGCAAGCACGGGCAATGATTTTGTAAAGTATTACCTAACTTGGGAGGGACTGGAGAGCATTGTGCTGAGTGAACTCACTCAGTCCCACCAGGATAAATATTGTATAAAACCATTATTGTAGAATGAATATAAGGATCAGGGGGAGGGAAGGTCAAAGCAGAGGGATGAGGATGTGCGGGGAGAGTGGGGATTGATTAACAATGGAACTGTATAATATGATGGGAGGGCAGCGAGGGAAAGTGGAAGAATCTGTTCTCAAAACAATAGATTCTAATTTTGTAAATAAACTAGTACAAAAAAATAAAAAGGAATACATAACTCCAAAATAAAAATAATTTGTAAAAAAATGCCCACAAGGTGAACAGGCCTTTTCTATGCTAAAAAAAAAAAAATTCTCATCAGTTAGACCAAAAGTGAAACTTACATTGTTAGCTCTTTTGTCACAAGTAATAATACGAAGTGAGAAGAAACATGTACAGATATGTAGATTTTAAGGATACAGACATGTAGAAAAGCATTACCAGAATGATATTCCTTGAACAGTGACTGCAACTGGTGGTGGTGGGGGGGGGGGGAGCATTTTATTTAATGACCAAATGGATACATACACACATAAACACACACCCACACACATGCAGATAAGTAAAACAGTATTTACTCATGTCATGTGAGATACATTGTAAAATTTTCTGTCCTTGGTCCATTAAAAAAAAAATCCACCTGAAAAAATAAACAAATTTTATAAGCCAGTAATACGTTACAACCTACGACTGACCACTCTAGAGCTAACTAACATGTGCTAACACATAATTAAAGAGAAAATTAGTCTTTCTTCTTCTTAGAATTGGCTCATACTAGTATTCTACGTCCTCAGAGGAAAATGAAAAATTCTTCATAGCCTTCTTACAATTTTCCAGCCTGGACACAGTGGAGATTTCACGTTGCTTAAGTTACCTACCTTCCCAGGTCAAAGAGTTGCAAGAAATTATTTATAATTGTATAACAGAACCATGTCTGTACTGCACATTTCATAGAAAAGTCTTCTTTATTCTCATTGTTTCATTTTATCCTCACAATTATTCTGTGAGGGAGGCTGGGAAAATATTCCATCAGATTCGCTTTATGTTGTATTGTTGTTATGTGCCATCAAGTCACCTGCAACATAGCGACCCTCTGAACCCTGCTCTATCATGAGCCAACCTCACTGTCTCGGACATACCTACCCCCATTACCCTAGTCACTGAATCAATTCATCTCATGCAGGGTCTTCCCCTCCTGTATTGTTCCTCCACCCTCCCATGATGGGCAGGTGAAGTGACTTTCCAAGTTATCACATTCTAGGAAGAGGCAGAAACAAAAAGAATCATAACATTTTAGGCTTAGGGTTCTTCTCTCTAAACCACATGGCCTCAGATAGTATAACCAGTTATTTTTCAAATTTTATCCTCCTTTCCTCATTACTAACTCAAGTCATATATCATAAGACATAACAAAAGACCTAATTCTAAACATCAGGTATCATGCCAAGTTTTTACCAAGTTCCAATCACCTCACCCTGCTTTGACCTCCTGCTGGATCTGCATTTCTATCTGACATGTTGAATCACAGTCACCTTAACAAGAATGAGTTAGAAATGTGAAGAATCTGGTCGGTTGGTAGGCAGAGGTCTGGGCAGTCATGGTTCCCAATGTTCCAGCAGATGAACGGGCCCAAAATAGGAACCAACTCCTATCTGACCCTCCAGTCGGTTTTCAGAGGATTTATAACTCTCACGGGAGGATTTTGCCCATCTTTTCCCCCATGGAGCACCTAGTGGATTGGAACCACATAACTTTGAGTTGGCAGTGCCCGATCCTGATTCACCACATGACCACCCAAGCACCCAAATTGGCCAAAAACTTCTGTGTCTGCCATGTGGCTACTGTGGATATGCTTAGGGCCATGGTAGCTTCTGGCTCTGAGCTGGAGAAAAAGCTAGAGGCAACCATGGATGCTGGGAAACTGGTAAGCGATGAAATGGTGGTAGAGCTCATTGAGAAGAGTTTGGAGACCCCTTCATGCAAGAAAGGTTTTCTTTTAGACGGCTTCCCTCGGACAGTGTGGCAAGCAGAAATGCTCGCTGACCTCAGGGAGAAGAGGAAAGAGAAGCTTGACTCTGTGATTGAATTCAGTATCCCTGATCTCTCATCCGGAGAATCACAGGAAGGCTGATCGACCCTAAGAGTGGCCGCTCCTACCACGAGGAGTTCAACCCCCCGAAGGAACCCATGACGGATGATATCACTGGGGAACCTTTGATCCGCCGATCAGATGATAATGAGAAGGCCTTGAAAATCTGCCTGGAGGCCTACTATACTCAGACCATCCCTCTAGTGGACTACTACCAGAACCAGAAAAGGGGCATACACTGGGCCATCAATGCATCCCAGACCCCTGATGTCGTGTTTGCCAACATCCTCGCAGCCTTCTCCAAAGCCACATTCTAGTAACAGAAGGCCAGGCAAGACCGCACCATTGCTCATCACCCCGCGGCCTGATCCCTCCTCTTAAGTGCTGGGCAGAGGGGTAGGGTGGTCAGGGTCAAAAAAGGGGGTGTTTGGAAGAACAGCAGTGTTATGTAATAAGGCGGTTTCCTTTCCACACAGGTGGAAGTCTTTAAAAGTATAAGGAAAAGGGAAAAATGAATTTAAAATAACACTGATTGGAGGGTATGGGTATAAATAAGGAGGTACAGTATTATAATTTCTACAGAATCGGATTTTCATTTACTCTGAACTGATAACAATATTTTTTCAAAGCTAATGCCCTAAAACCTCAACTTTTATATCAGAACTTCATGGATTGCCAGCCTAAAAATGCAGGAAATTGAACTGTTCACCTGTCCTATAGCTCGGAGTAGGGAGACTCTTAACTACTGAACCTTTCCCCCTATACTCCGAGATCAATCATCTCTACATCTGAAAGCGATACAGAATGTATTCACGGGACTGGTGGCTCAGCATATCAAGCTGACTGGAATCATGGGAACTGGAGAGCATGCCGGTCTCGCTGTCTTCCCCAGCCTTGCCACTCATTTACCAGTCTACCTGCTCTCATGGATCAGCCATCCAGCGCACGCCAGAATCCCGCACTCATCTCTTCTCCATACGTGGTGTGTGAAGGAACTCTTTGTCATAAATATGCAAGTGCCCTAAGCAGTGTCATCCAAAGATTGTCCTTTCCATCCTCAAATCCTATGACTGGGATCACTCAACAGCACTGTGATGTACTGTTTTCAATGAGGTGCCTTTCTCAAGTGACCAAATGCTGCCTTATTTGGCTTCTGAGTCAATAAAGCATATTAAAAGTTTGTAAAAAAAAAAAAAGAAATGTGAAGAATCTTTTGTGAAAAACAATGTATTCAAACATTGTAAATAAATCAGTATAAATTTTTTTAAAAGTGTATATTGTGGCACACTCTTAAATTAACACATTTTAAATATGTGTACTTCATTGTAAACCGCGTTTATATCAATAAAGCTGTACAAAACGAAAAAACAAAAAATTAAGATCACTTCCAGGAAAAAAATGCAAACAAACAAAAACAAAAAAACCCAAGAATGAGTTAATAAGAATCACATGAAGATTCTGGTTTAGTTTATCTAGTGTAGGAATAAAAGGAGCTCTGGTGGGGCCGGGAGGATGCCAGCTCATGGAAAAAGACGCTGGGAAACCTGGGGGTGGCGGTCAGAACAAGGCAGGGAGACCCTCACCAAGATGCCTTGACACAGTGACTTGAGCAGGGGGGAGGAGGCCGAGGATAGATGCAGGACAGGGCACGGTTCTGATCTGCTGTTCACAGGGTCACTATGAACTGCAGTGGACGATGGCACATAACAACTGGTGGTGCCATGGTTAAGGTATTTGTAAAAAAAGTCGGCAGTCAGAACCCAATTCTCAGTCCAGGATTGAATGAGTCGATGTTCTGGATTATACTTTCTACCAATAAAAAGTTAGAGCCAAAGCCGTGTATTGCTTGGAATGGACTGTTTCTTCAGTTCTACTCTGAAAGGACATAACCAATATGACCCAAAGGGCCAAGGAAATTGAAGAGATGTTAGATGCAAGAAAATAAAATGGAACATACTGATATATTTAAGTCTGTTTACGTTTTTACTTTTATGAGCAGGTTCAATGGAGAGCTTTAATATAGATGCGACTTGGAGGTTTTGTAGAGGATCTAAGTCTTGATGAACTTATTGAAGCACAAATCTGGAACACGTAATGATGGTAAGCCATAGTCTTCAAATATGTGGTACTTGATGCTTTAAGACAAAACATACACACAAATTCTATTTGTAAGCCTAATAAGTTTTAAACATAGGGCTTTGAAAAACTGTTATCTTTTTGGTCTGTAGTTAATCAGAACATTATATAGCATGTAGAAAGAAGGAGAAAGGAAGGAAGGGATTTGTGAACAAAAATACCATGAACATGTCCAAAAGGTAACTAAAGAAATACTTCAGTGATCTGAAATACCAGCTCTGGAAATAACTCCTGTGTCCCTCAGCTGATAGACAGTAATCACCCTGACATTCATCACTCTTCTCTTTTTTTGAGACAATACTTATAATCTCATTCATTCTTTTAATGCCTCTTTTTTTGCAATCTACTCCTTTTCAAGAGAACGTTAAGCATTAACAAAAATGTTGTTGTTGATTGCCTTCACGTCGAGCATGACACATAGCGACCCTATGAACAAAAGGCCTGAAGCCTTTCTACAACTATTGACATTTATCAAAGTTCATAGAGTTTCTGGAGGCATATTGTTTAGGAAGTGGATGCCACTCTAATAGCAGCTAATATTTACCAAGCCATACAGTGTGCAGGGCACTATTTGAAACGTATGTATGCAGAATTTCACAAACCAGCAATATTCCTTTAGTTCTTACCACAACCTGAAGAATAAGATACTGAGATTGCCAGTTTTCAGATGAAGAAATTAAGAAATATAGGTAGCTACATATCTGGTAACAGTGAAGTTGAGATTACAACTCAGGGCTCGAGCATCAAGCCACACTCTGTATAACTGGTTCAATACAAGAATATTTACCAGGGCTCATTTAGTTGAATAAATTAGCACTGGGCCACGTCATAACCTTTTACCGTATATTATGATTAGAAAGTACAGTGGCTAACTTGAATTTTCTAACAGAAGAAATGCATAATGCATTTTAGCAATTATATCCTGCAGAAACTGCAAAGCCATTTTAAAATAAATCATATCACTAAAATGCTAACAGCAAGTCCTACAGGATTATTTTTGTTAACTACTATCAAATTAACAACTACTAAAAAAATAACAAACTGTGGCTGACTCTGAGAATAATGGGAATCCCAGAATACTTGATCATGCTAATGGGAAACCTATTCTTGGACCAGGAGGCAGTCATCAGATCAGAGCAAGGAAACACTGCATGGTTCAAAATTGAGAAGGGCGTATGCCAGAGATGTGTCCTATCTCCATACCTTTTCAACTTACATGCAGTACAGATTATCCAGGAGACTGGGCTCTATGAGGAGAAATGTGGCATCAGGATTGGAGGAAAATTAATCAAGAATCTGTGTTATGCAGATGATGCAACCCTGCTTGCTGAAACTGAGGAGGACCTGAAGCATTTGCTGGAGAAAGTAAAGGACTGCAGCCTTCAGTATGGATTGAGGTTCAATATAAAGAAGACAAAGATTCTCACCACTGGACCAATTGGTAGCATGAGGATGGATGGTGAAGAGATTGAGATTGTTCACGGCTTTAGTTTGCTTGGCTCCACAGTCAACACTCTTGGCACAAGGAGCCAGAAAATTAAGAAGTACTGAGATGGGAAAGTCTGCTGTTAGGGATTTGTCCATAGTGCTGAAGAGCAATGGTTTCACTCTGGAGACTAAGGTGCTCATGATACAGGCCATGGTGTTTGCAATCAGTTGTTATGCATCAGAGAGTTGGACAATGATTAGGGAAGCTAGAAGGAGAACTGATGCCTTTGAGCTGTGGTGCTGGAGAAGAGTATTGTATGTACCATGGACTACTAAGGAAACAAAGAGGTTCATCCTGGAGAGGGTTAAATCGGGCTGCTCCTTGGAAACAAGGATTCTTTTTTTTTTTTTT